AGCGTTATAATCCACAAGTATCTAAATATGGTTTTTAGCGTTATAAGCCTTTCAGATTCATCTCTGAGCCATCGTAGATCAACTATTTTACTACCTGCTAGGTGTAAAATATGCTGTAAGTTTGTCTTAGTTAGACTTGAATGTATTTCACAGGTGCACACGTTATGAGTACTTTTTCCTGACCTAAAAAAGATAATTTTTTGGGCTTAAAAGAGTAACAAATTTAAGTGTTTTTTTTTGTAAATATAACAAAAAATGCTTTATAAAAAAATTTCCACCTACTTGAAGTACACGTTTACCTTTTTTTTTATTTTACTTCCAGCTGAGCTAATAGAACGTGTTAAAAGTTAAAACTGTATTTTATCTAAGAATGTTGGATGATGTGAAGTATAAGATACGGTTGTATTTTTTTTAATTAACTGATAATGCGTTGAATTGATATTAAGTAAATGTTTCTCGACTGTATTTGTGATGTTTCAACTGAAAAAATAAAGAAAGAAAAAGAACTTGTCGACGCCATCTACCTGGTGGTGTCGTCAACACTTTAGCGAAAAAGTGCATTGGTAAATACGTTCAGTAGCACCACGAAACATGTAAAGCTTCTTTCGAGTGATAGTGATAGGAAAAAGATACACGGAAATAACCGTAACCCTGTATTAAATTTAAATAGTTATTGCACTGTTTTTGTGTTTAACTGATTTTTTTGTAAAATGCCGGTGGGTATTCTAAATTGTACCAAATTTACACTATAACTTATGTAAATTACAGAATGAATAAAATCAGAAAATTACAAAGTCTGTATTTTAATTTTTAGTGAATAGTAAAAAAAGTAAAATAGCGATTTTGGTAACTATATTTTATTATTTAGAATTTTAATATTACTCATTAGACGTAAGTTACAGTGAATCACACTACTATGAATGTGATATAATCTAATACAATCTAGATACGTGCTGCTTAAAAATATATAACTTGCTATGTTTCGAAGTTTTTGTATCAGTTACAAACTTCCATATGAATTTTTGCATTGGATGTTTTATTATGCACACTATATTACTATTAGCCCAATTATTTGGCTAGTCCCTTCTTTTTGCAATTTTACACCTAACATTGTGTGTGAAATTGTAAACATCTAAAAATAGCACCTAGCCTGATTTTGGGGTAACATAACAATATGTGTAATTGTACCATTGTAACCACGTTTGGTAAAATGTCAGAAATGTGTGTTTACCAGCAATATGTTAATTATTACCCAACATTATCTTTGTTGATACTGTAGACCATAGATTGTTATTAATAAACTGAAGCTTTCAGGAAAGCTTTGACCTTGTTTGAGTGACTATATATATATATATATATATATATGTGTGTGTGTGTATGTATGTGTGTGTGTGTGTGTGTATGTATGTTTGTTTATTATCATTCAAATATATAAAAACTATAAATATGGCATTGAAAGCAAATGGTAATTATTGGGCAGCTATAAAAAAGTTGTACAATGTATTTTCTTATCAATTTATCCCAACTAAATATCTAGGAACAAGACAACCCATTTGGTATTGTTGGGTTATATTTGTAACAGCATATGTTTGTATAGGACAAGTAGGCAAATAAAACTTTGATTATAAGCTGTTGTTGCATTACTCTTACCTTAGAATGTACATGTGACTGGTTTCCATAAATAGCTGCAAGGACACATGTAACCCAACAAAGATACCTGTTGAGACACAATTTTCAGGAAATGTACATAGAAATAATTTCCAAAAATGTAGAAATAATTCCTTATATATTCTAAATATTTTATATGCAGTTGTATTGTTTTTATTTTAAGAATATAAAACTCATACTAAAAGGATTAAAGGAAACATGAAATATATTTAATATTTTTTTCATATTTTTAAAAACAATCACAAAAAAATAACATAATATGCTTTTGTAGGTTATTTTGAGCTTTTAATGTTGTCTACATACAACTGTTTTATTCATTGAATGAAACCTGTTATAGCTTAAAATCTTATGTCAACACCATTCTTAATAATTATTAAAAACATAATGTTATTTATTATGATAAGTAGCTACTGGAACACCCTGTATTTAAATAATTCTAAATTGTTTATATATTTTATAAAAGAAGATCCTAATTGAAAGTATTGAATTTATTGTAAGAACTTTAAAATATTTATAGTGGCTTAGTATTTTTTACTAAATTGCTTTTGTTTATATGCACTTTTCTGTGAACTAGCCTCAGAAAGGAAAGCAAGCCACTAAAGGCCAGAAGCAAATTGTTCAAGAAAATAAAGAAACTTTAAAATTTTATGCTACAATGGCAATAGCAACAGAGGTAAGTAAAACACTGTATATGTTTATAAAAGAATTACAATAAGTTACAAAGTGGTACAGATTTGTGTGTAGCTTTCCAAAGCTTGTTACAGATGTTGAAGAAACACCCCAATATAATTATATTCTAAAAGTTCCACTATCTTCTGATTTCTTTTATTAAACACTTGGCTTCTATTTAAAAATAATTTAAATTATTTGTGTGTAAATAAAGGTTTAGTTTTTTTTTTTTTAAAAAGACCCACTGTTACTATGTAATGATGGCTATGCTCCTGCACCACTGTGCCAAGACGTTTTTTTTGTCACACTAGTGAGTAAGTTCCAATCAACAACTGCATATTGAATGTATGGTCCACATTATGATAACACAAATGTATTACCTTGCTCTTATTATAATTAAAGCTCATTTGCCAGAAATGTGTCCAGCTTACCAATTGATCTAAGTTGTTCTTTAGTACTTGAACATCCTTAATACAGCTAGAAATACCCAAGAGAAAGTAAGTTAAGAGATCATAACCTTTCCCTGTAAGATAACTCATTGACAAAATCTGTCTAATCACTATAATAACTGCCATTTAGAAACTTTTTACTCTTGAAATCCCTAATTGTAACCCATATAGATTCAACCCCTTGACTACCATATTAATGTCTTTAGTCCCAACAGGCTGCAGTTTATCCCTTAAATAAAATTTTAATTCAGGAGTTCAGATCCTCGTTTATTTTATATTAATTACTTAATGTGTTTGTTAAACAGTTAAGATGTCTTTCTAATAAAAACAAATTGTGATATACACTTAAGTCATTGTGTTTTTTTTCAGGTTTTATATTCAATTGTCTTAATTATCTTCTTTTGGGAGGAGTTTTCCTTTTATTATTGGGTGAGTAATTCATGTTCCTAAAAGTATTAAGTATTTCACATTTATATTGTATATTGCTTAAACATTATTTCAATGCATAACCTGTTGATAAAACATATCTATAACTTGTTACAAACTTTTCAACAAGAATATTTCACTAAAAAGTCACTACAAAGTATACAACATGTGCATAACAATAAACTTCTTATTGTTATTATTTAAACCATTTCAAAAATGGCTTAAAATAATAATTATTATTATTTCTAATTTGATGTACATGTTGTCTCCTTTGTATTCACTTTTTTGAGACTAGTATTATTTGTTGTTTTGGAACTTGAATATACAGTACAATTACAGATTTGTTTTCTGCTGATTATGGTTATGTTACAGTCAGCTGCATGAATCAGTTTCTTTCTAATTAATTTCAATGTTGTGTAGTTGGATACACTTGGTGACTGATTCCTGCATAAATAGCATGGACGTGTGAATAAAGACCTGCATAATATAGTCATGATGTAACTGTATTGTTACAGTATCAGTCTGGGGCTTGTGAGAATTTCATTTCTATTAATTACTTACACTACTAAAATAAATTTGACAGACTGAAAGCATGTTAGTAATATTGAAGATATATAAAGTAGAAGTTGTACAAAATAAAATGTTGAAATATCGTTTATAATACTGTTGTTATTAAAGTAAAGGATATATAAAGTTTTGTAAAATAAAATACTGTAAAGTGTTTGTAATGCTTATGCTACAAATGAAGAAGAAACATAAATTATAAGTTTAACAAAAATATATAAAACTGTATGTAATGCTGAAGTTATTGTAAGGAGGATACATGAAATAGAAGTTTTAGAAAATGGAATATTGAAAACTAAGTATTTATGTTATATATATTTTTGATTGATTACTTGCTGTTTTTTAATTTTGTACATGCAACAAATGATCATAGTTCTGTCAATAGCAGTGTATGTTGGTGACCTTTTGATTGATTACTTGCTTTTTGTTAATTTTGTACATGCAACAGTGGTCATAGGTCTAACAGTAGCAGGTGTATGTTGGTAACCTTTTGATTGATAACTTGCTGTTTGTTAATTTTGTACATACAACAGTTGGTCATAGGTTTAACAGTAGCAGGTGTATGTTGGTAACCGTTTGATTGATTACTCGCTGTTTTTTAATTTTGTACATGCAACAGATGGTCATAGGTCTAACAGTAGCAGTGTATGTTGGTAACCTTCAGTTCATGAACTACATGGCAAAAGCAGTTTATTCTGAATCTGGTGCTTTGCTGGATGGAGGGGTAGACTTAAACATGGAATCAGGATTAGCAGAGTGAGTAATTAGTGTAATTTATACACTTATATCTTTCTATGTAAACATCTTTATATCTCTAGCTACACTGTACAAAGGCTATTAATACTATTGCACTGCACTGCACAAGGAGTAGGAAAGAACACTGTTTTTTGGTCATGTTTCCCTAGTTGGCTTTTATGAAAAACAAGTGTCATGACAGCATGCATTTAGGTTGCAAAAAACTTGTAGTTACAAAAAAACTTAAGTTAACAGAATTAAGACACTATTATCATTACAAAACAGTATCTTGAATCAGTCCTTGACTTGAAGTATACAGTTTTCCTGTGGAATGACTTCCTAGTAGATAAATCTAAAAAATAACTGCATTACAAAAACAAATAGCCATAAGTGATGCTGGAAATGAATTATATTTGTATTGTGGTGGATAACCCATTAATTAGTTTTTGTCTGAGATGTTTAATATATATATATATAAACACATTTGTTACCATAATGTATAATATATTACAAAAAAATTAATGTTCTAAAAAAAAGTTCTAATAAGTTCAACATTATGTGTTTTGTGTTAATATATTTTTAATTGTTAACTTCAATCACTATGTTGAATCTGAACTGTCATTTAATAGGCCCAACAATTTTGTTATTGTATTAGAGATTTAACCTAAATCCTTCTGGCTATTTCTAGAGTGGGAACTTTTTGATCTGAAGAACATTTCAGTTTATAAGCCAAAATGTCTTTCCTCTTTAGAAACAGGCAGGAACAGCCTTTTAAAACCTAATTTCTATTATGTCTATACTGTCTAAAGTACCCTTGAAACAACATTGTATATTTCAGTTCAAACCAATTGTATTCTGTCCAAAAAAGCAATCTTCAAGAAATGTGCATCAAAATATTATGTTTATTCGTTTTAGAGGTTGTGTTTTTATTATTTGTGTTGTATGTATTTTTACTCCACAAGACCTGATGTATAAACAAAAAAAAACACTGTTTATTAGTTTTAGGTTTTTGTCTTGACAACATACACATATTATTTAGGCTACATGTAGTTTTAGTTTGTGTAAACATTGAATGTAGGTTTTCTGTTTTAGTTTAATGATTTAAATTACATGTACTATCAGTGTAATTTTTTCCAGTGAAAGAGAGCCCTTAGTAAAATAACACTGAACAGTAATTGTTTTAGCTTTTCTAATTATGAAAAAGGTATGGAAATACAACTTTCCAGTTGTAGATATAAGGAATCACTTTAAAATTAAGTCCTATTTCCAAAATGTTGCATCACAATAATCTGAATCCAAAAGGTGTGTGAAGTAGTGAGAGAACTGACATTATGATAGCTATTATGATTTTGTTAACATACTAGGCTCAAATAGATAGTAAAAATAAAGAGATGGACCTTTATAAGGAACACACCTTTGATGTGTAGGAGGTGTTTTTTCTTAATGAGGATATACCTTAAAAAAGCTCATGCACTAGGAAAAAGAATACTTCTTGTTAAAATGTGTACAAGCTCAAGTTTTTTTATATCTTTGTGTATATGTATATATATATATATATATATATATATTCATACATTATTATTT